CAGCGACAGCAGCAGGACAATGGGCTGCCTCCGATCATAACGGCCACCGCTTCCACTGACCGGATTAGCAGGTATGGCTGCCGGGGGACCGGCTCAGCTGGGGGCTGCGCGGTTTGCTGCTGTTTCTCCCGCTTTAACAGCTTCTGTTTGTCAGCGGCAGAGGGTGGGGGGGTGATGGGGGGTGCAGGAAGGAAGCAGCGGCTCAGCAGCAGACACCCAGCGGGGCCTGCTGACCGGCTGCCTCCGGCTCCGCAACCAGCCGGTGACACCGATTTATTCAGCTGGGAGCTAAAACCGGCCGTTTTCGAACCGGCAGGACCCGAAACGACGCGACAGAAATCACAGCGGGGCGACACATCCGGAACATCCCCGCCGCTCGCCTCTACACAGGCGCCCCGCCGAACCGCCTTAGAAAAACACGGAAATTAAGCTTTTTCGCTTCCCCTGCAGAGAAAATCACACCTGAGAACCAGATAAATATCAATATTTATCCACTAGTATCCCAGGAGTAATTCGGCTGAAAAAATTTGCATTTATTTTGGACTCCAAATCGAAATAATACAATAAAGTAAATAAATATTGCATCCATGCATATAATACGACACAGTAAAGAAGCTCTAACTGTTTGTGTTTAATATAAATGCAGAAAAAGCAGGGGAAAAAACAACAAATTTCTGTTTTGCTGCTGTTTTCCAGCAGGACTTTGGCAAACAAAGCCCCAGCAGCTCAGGCTGAAGTCCTGCTCCAGTCCAGGCCGGACTGTCTCCTGCACAGATGCGGGGATTGTTGCGGGAATAGACGGACTCATTGTGTTTACTATAATGCGCCTTCTGTTGGACGCTGCGTGTTGGTGACGCACGCAGACGTGCGGGGATGGGGAGCTGCTGCGCGGGCATCAGGAAACTAAACTCACCGCATATCTTTTTCTTTTTTGCTGCAAACAGACAGATGTGACCAGAGTTTGTGTGTTTTGAGGGGATAGAGATGAAGCATGTCTGCTGAACAGGAGGAAAAGATGATGCGTTGAACTGATTTGAACCAACTGCGCAAAGCATCTTTCCTGCAGCTGATTTTTTTTGGATGATATGAGAAAATATTTGAATCCAGGGATTTAGATTAGAGAAGTCACCAGAGCAGAAAGAAGTGATTAAAGGGAAAGTGCTGGGACAGAGGCTGAGCTAAATCTTTTGCAGCAGATATTGTGGCATGTAATAAACTGGGATAATCACATAATCAGAGCCAGCCCGAGGTATAAGGGAACTAAGTAGTTGCTTAAAACTAGTGTGGCCAGCTGCTCAGGAAGAAAAGCAGCTATGAGCTGATCTAAATGGTGTTAAAAGAGGTAACAGACACATTTGCATAACTGACTAAAGCTGTGGGTCTGAAATAGATGCCGTAGGAGAGAGGAATGACACCATGGGAGGGAAGTAAAGCAGCAAAACAGCTCGGTTTGTGTTCTAAAGGACTGATTAGACTTCTGCAGCCGCACAGATCAAATGTCGTCCGGTCGCGAACCAGTTTTGCTGGTATCCTTCTGCATCGTGGGTTTGGAATTTCTAAGGACGGACAGCAGTTTCCCGCCAAAGTGCAGAACTTCGGTGGATGGTCACGAGAACTTTGGCGTTGCCGGTTGGAAGTGTTTATCTTCCAAAACAACAATGGCGCGTCTGGAAGTTATCACAGTCAGGGAGATGGATCTAGAGTTGCTGGACATCGAAGAGGAACAGGTTCTGTTAATGGAGTTGGCAAAAAGACAAAGGTGGACGTGTAGGTGGTCTGTACGCCCCTTGAATCCGACCACGGATGAGACTGGGGAGCTTAGACCTGGCACCGAATCGAGAAGGGCGACCACTCAGACAGCTGGAAAATCACAGCTGCCTCTGTCTGCGCACTTCCGCTTGAGATCTGTGCCGGTTTGTCACCATCCAACGCGTAGTCAGGATTTTTTTTGAGGTGTGCAATGACGGTTGCAGAACCTCTGCGTGGGGGTCGTGGTTGTGCACAGAGACAGATTTGACGGTGGCAGAGGCTATGCGTCAGAAGCCTAAATTGGCCTTAAGGGAACTAAGTAGCTGCTTAAAACTAGTGTGGCCAGCTGCTCAGGAAGAAAAGCAGCTAAATGGTGTTAAGAGGTAACAGCCACATTTGTATACTAAAGGGCAGATTAGACATCTGCAACCGCACACATCAAATGTTACCTGGGTCTGGTCGCGAACCAGTTTTGCTGGTATGCTTTAGCACGTCTGTCTGGAAATTCTACTGACGGACAGCAGTTTCCCGCCAAAGCTCTAGGGGGAGCCTATTCAAGAACGCGCAAGAACTTCGGCGGATGGTCACGAGAACTTCGTTTTTGCAGAGACCTTGGTATCTTTATATAATTTGTCTGAGGCACCGTACAAGTGATATAACTTCTACTTCTGAACCTCCTGGATTAACCTTTCGTCGTAGTTGTTCCTCGGTTTTTAAAAATGGCGCACCTGACACCAAATCGAGAAGGACGACCACACAGACAGCCTGAAAGGCAAACCAAGGACCAATCACAGCTGTTTTTTGTCTGCGCACTTTCGCTTCCGTACAGAGACAGATTTGATGGTTGCAGAGGCTATGCATCAGAAGCATAAATTGGCCTTTAAACTGTTATTATTATCTGTATCGGTCTAGGGCTGCACAGTGGCGCTGGGTAGCACTGCTGCCTTGCAGTAAGAAGGTTCCAGGTTTGATTCCTGACCATGGGTCTTTCTGCATGGAGTTTGCATGTTCTCCCTGAGCATTCATGGGTTCTTTCCAGGTACTCCGGCTTACTCCTACAGTCCAAAAACATGACTGTTAGGTTAATTGGCTTCTTTATATTCTCCTTAGGTGTGAGTGTGTCCGTGAATGGTTACCCTGTGATGGACTGGCGACCTGTCCAGGGTGAACCCCGCCTCTCACCCGTAGACAGCTGGAGATAGGCACCAGCACTCCTCGTGACCCCGCTTGGTGTGACAGAAAATGGATATATTGATGTATCGGTCTATCTCCAGTGGGATCGGCAACTCTTGTTTTTGTTCCCACACCTGGTGACATGTTGCAAACATCCTGTGGTCAGGATACNCTGAGGCACCGTACAAGTGATATAACTTCTACTTCTGAACCTCCTGGATTAACCTTTCGTCGTAGTTGTTCCTCGGTTTTTAAAAATGGCGCACCTGACACCAAATCGAGAAGGACGACCACACAGACAGCCTGAAAGGCAAACCAAGGACCAATCACAGCTGTTTTTTGTCTGCGCACTTTCGCTTCCGTACAGAGACAGATTTGATGGTTGCAGAGGCTATGCATCAGAAGCATAAATTGGCCTTTAAACTGTTATTATTATCTGTATCGGTCTAGGGCTGCACAGTGGCGCTGGGTAGCACTGCTGCCTTGCAGTAAGAAGGTTCCAGGTTTGATTCCTGACCATGGGTCTTTCTGCATGGAGTTTGCATGTTCTCCCTGAGCATTCATGGGTTCTTTCCAGGTACTCCGGCTTACTCCTACAGTCCAAAAACATGACTGTTAGGTTAATTGGCTTCTCTAAAATTCTCCTTAGGTGTGAGTGTGTGCATGAATGGTTACCCTGTGATGGACTGGCGACCTGTCCAGGGTGAACCCCGCCTCTCACCCGTAGACAGCTGGAGATAGGCACCAGCACTCCTCGTGACCCCGCTTGGTGTGACAGAAAATGGATATATTGATGTATCGGTCTATCTCCAGTGGGATCGGCAACTCTTGTTTTTGTTCCCACACCTGGTGACATGTTGCAAACATCCTGTGGTCAGGATACAAACCCCTGGTAGCTCTATAAGGATGGTCTGGCTTTCCAGACTACATCTATCCCAGAGAGAGAAACCAGAGAAAGTTCTGGAGGGAAGGGCATTTTATGGTTTATAGAGCACAAAGTAAAACAGGTTCATTTTTTTTAAGTGGTTAATAGAATTCAATTTTTTGTCATTCCACTGTCATAAGTACAGAGCAACGAAATGAATTCTCAGCATTTAACCTATTCCCTTGGGAATGGCCATTGTGCGGCACCCAGGGAGCAGTGTGGGGTTAAGGGTCTTCCTCAGGGACCCAGAGCGGCAGTTGAACTCACAACCTCAGATTTCAAAGCCCTATGTCCTAACCACTAGGCCGCCACGAGCCTTTGTTAATGGTGGTAAAGTTGTCGTCACCTTGATTGCCCTATAATGGACCATGTACATTAAAAGGAAATTAGTTGATTATTTAGATTAGTTAGATTAAAAGTAATTTTTTAAAAGTTAATAACTAACCCCAGATCATTTTGCTAATGTGAAACGTCCCTGCATTAATAAGAAAGAAAAACTTCGAATTAGTTTTTGCTCAAAGTGTTAAACACCAGCAGTAAAACCTGAAAGGTTGTCCCTGGCAACCACAGCTAAGGTGTGAGCTGCTGCCTCATGGTTAAGAGGTTCCCCCTGAAGGTGCGCCTGACTATAACATTAGTGCTGCCGCTAAATTTGCTCAATCTGGATAGATACTTAATTCTTGCTCTAATACTGACCCCCTTATTTATTTGATTTTGTATCATTTAAACTGTGTCACAATTTTAGGAGAACATTAAAACATTCACATTTATATAAGTTTCATTTGGATCATATCAACTTATTGGCAATTCTTCCTAGTGACATGCTGCAGTCATCTTGTGGTGAGCTCCATCCAGAGAGAGAAACTAGAGGAAGTCCTGGAGGGGAGGGAATTTCACGGCTTTAAAGAGCACAAAGTAGAACAGGGTCCCCTCCTCTACCTGTTGCTGTGCACTGCTGTCAGCTGGCTGAAAGAAACCCACTACACTTTTCTTTTGCTTTAAAAAAAATCTACAATTTTGTTTTATTTTTTTTTAGATTTGGTGAATCAGGATGGAAACTTAATTTTTGCTTCAAAACTGAGCCCTTATTTTTATTATTATTGTTTTTTTTATCATTCAAACACTTTGAGGAGAACAGTAAAACATTCACATTTATTTAAGTTTCATTTGGATCAACTTAGAGTAAAGAAGTTTCATTTAATTGGCGGTTAATACATTTTAGTTTTGGAGCAAAAATTTAAGTTTGTATCTCCCCAAGGATTACACTGGAGAAACAATATAGAAATAAGTAAAAATCTCTTAAATTAAGTGTATTTTTTCTTAATTTGAGTAGGTAAATATGATAAAGTTTGCCAATGGAAATAGTATTTTTACTCTTAAAATAAGATAATTAGATAATATGCATTTGAAATAAGACAATGCAATTGTTTTTTCAGATTTTAAATGTAAATTGTCTCGTTCCATTGGCAAAATGTCTCTTTTACCTCCTCAATCTGAGAATAAATCACTTATTTTACGAACAAATAACTTTTTTCCGTATGTATTTGTATTCACGTAAAAACAACAAATGCAAGAACTGTTTAAAACAGTGACAGAAGAATAAATGTCTTAAAAACTAATACAAGGTTGCATGTCCAACCTTTCCTTGACAGTGAATGTATTTTTATAGTCTAGTTCTATTTTAGAGCAGTGGAATTGGCTCCAAACAAATCCTGAAACGAACGCGGTCTATAAAAGTCTCCATCTTTAAAAGGGAAAAACCTAATGATGCAGTCAGGAGCGATCATCCAGCCTGAATAGCAGGAAGCAGCTCCAAACCGGCGGGGACTAGGAACCCAGCAGGAGGCAAATGAGTTGTTCCAGTGAGAGCAGAGCGGCTGCAGTTTGTTGTTTCTTTCCTCACCGATCGAGAAGAGATGCTCAGAGGTAGAGGCACTGGACTCAGCTTTTTATTCCTCACTTCAGACAGGAGCCACCGGCTTCATGTTAACAATAACAGGAAGGAGGCGAGGAGCTGTGCAATAGCTCATGCTTTTTTTGTGGTTCTCTAGGCCTCTATAGAGATTATTTGTGTCACATCATGTTTGTTCCACATGATCAGTATGTGAGAATCTATTATCTGGGAAGAAAGTGTCACAAGACAGTGGTTGCAGAGTGGATGTTTGTCAGCAGTGTCATCAGGAGCTGCTGCGGGACCAGAAAGTACTGCTAACTCTCTGTCCTTTTCCCCACATTACCTCAATGTTTACAATGGGCTGCCACACAGACCTGATTGTCCTTATTTATAGTTCTGCTAATTATTTACAGAGCTATAATTATTGCAAATAAGCTGCAAATAATTTTAAAATTGGCCCTCAGACCTTCGCAGGAATTTTGATAGATAAGCATGAACAGGTTGAGAGAACCTGTCCATGATGAGCAAGCATGAAGTGACAGTGGAGAGGAAGAACTTCCCATTGGGAAGAAACCTCTGGCAGAAACAGACTCGGCATGGCGGTCTTCTGCCAGAGCGGTTGAAATGAGACGCGGAATGCAGTAGGGGTGGGCGATATGACGATTTAACACCGTGTTACGATCTACACCTCTGACGATCTGTCATTATTAAGAGGTCGTTTTATCAGGATTCACAAAACTGCAGTGCTGCTGTATTTCTGCCACTGATCACATTTACATGCAACCAAAAAAAAAAAAAACCTTCACAGCTAGAATAAAATCTGAGTGTTTGACTTTCGTCCGTTAGTTTGAAAATCAGTTAGAATCTATTGTTTAATGTAATATTTTTTTTTAAACTTAAGTTAGTTTCTGTGTGCTTTCTTTCTTCTTTTACTTTATTAGACCAGTCAAGATTTTAAAGTAATAAAACTGCACTAAGATACAGTTAGAATTTTTATTTATTTTGACTGTAGTTACTTGAAAAATGTAACTAATTTGTAATTGTTTTACTCAGGAGTTATTGTATTTTTATTCTCTTTGGTGCGTTTACAATATAGAAATAAAAAAAACAAGTTTGCTAGCACTGCTTTGATTCTCTAATTTTAATAAACTTGTTTATTTAATTTTTCTCTTCTTTGCATGTAACTGAAGTTATGTTGGTCGTATCTAAAAAAAATGTGATAAAATTACAATAATATAATCAAAAAATCACGATATTTTATTTTTGCCATATCGCCCAGCCCTAGAATGCAGTAAGAGTCCAGGAGGAATGAAACTCTGATGAAGTTTTAGCGACGATGGTGGAGGAGGGGCTGGAGGTGGGTTGAAACGGGGTCATCTGAATGAAAGTCTGATACAACGCGACCACTACCTGCGCACAAGAGCAGACAAGTTGCGGATCGGAGGCCTTTTAAGATGAACTTTCGATGCCGATTGGCTTTAGTGGAGGTGTGGGTCAAAGCTGATTGGCTGTGTCGCAGGTGGATGAAGGAGAACAATCAGTTTCTTGAGTTGAACTTCTGCCTAGGCTCCATATTCTAAATATTATAAACAGGAGTAAAAATGCCCCACTTTTTTCAGACATTTTTTTAATTATTCACACTGATACTATATGATACTATAACATATTTTTTTTTGTTTTTTGATATATAGACTCAATAATAGACTCAAAATGGTTATTTTAAATGCCTTAAGCATTCCACTTGTAACAGAATAATGCACATGCATATGCAATATTAGGCTTGTATATGACATTAAAACTAGATTGCTCCAGTTTTGTGAAGGACATCATCATGTATGTGTCTACAAAGATATTTATTTTCAGCTGGGCTATCTGCTGTGGAAGACAGACTCTCCTTTTGTTTTTCCACCACACATGTCGCTATGATTTGCAAAGGGAACGTTTTCCAGCCAGTCAAATATTTGTCAGATGAATTACCTTTTGATGAATTACTATTGGGTTAAATTTTAGCATGGACTGTAAATCTAAATATGTAAAAATATGTAAAAAGCCTCTACAGCAACAAAAAACAAAAAAAACGGAAAGGCACCATTTTTGCCCTTTTTGGTTAAGGGAAGGAATTTTTTCCTTCTTTCCCTTAAAAAATATTTTTTTTTTTTTACACGTGTGGCTTGTTTCTTCCACATATGGTATCTGTTTTGTACATAAAAATGCCATAAATTTCCCATGTGAATCCACTGAACTTCTAAATACATGTTTAAATTGTCATTGCATATTTCTCACATATTCATAGAAAATAAAACAAAAGCAAAACTGGTTAAAACATTAGTAAAAAAAGAAAAAGTATTTTAAAATCTAATATAATAAGATTGCCTGTTAATCTTTTGCTTGACACTTCATTGCTAATGGCTGCTGTATGGTTAAGGCACTTAACTGGCTAGTTTGCTTTTCTAATTCACCGTGTCTGTTTCCAAAGGGAAATATATGATGTCTGGTAATAATTGTGCTTAGCAGTGTGATGAATCTTGACGTCTTGTTGTTTCCTGCGTCGATAAGCCCTGATTAGACTATCGCTGTGAAGTAAATTCACCAAAGGCTGCCTTCTTCGTTGGACTCCAGTCCTCGAGGGCCGTTGTCCTGACACGTTCAGTTATGTCCTTGCTTCTACATTCCTGATTCCAATATTTAGATGATTGCCAGGACTCCAGAGAACCTGCATAAGGAGGGATTTGTTCAATTGTTTGATACAGGTATACTGGACCAAAGACACATCTTAAAGGTGCAAGACACTGGTACTTAAGGAGTTTCACATCCTTGATCTTCTTATTATCGATTTTAAGCAAAGATGCTTCTAAAAAGCCATTGTTTTCCAAGAGCAGAAGGTAGCTTATGGTTGGGCATTATTGGTAGGAGTTGACTCACCTGAATATGAATCCGAACCAAACCGGATGGCTCAGGTACATATTTTTGGGTGAAATTTGAGCATTTCTTTTAAGTGTTGGTATTCGTTATTACTGAGATAATTAAACAGATGTTCTGAATACAGGGCTACAAAGCTACATATTGGTAAGATACAAACTTGGAAGGCATAGCCTAGGGGCAAACAGACCTGTTGCTAGAACAGCGACTAGACTGAAGATGCTTTGCTAATGTTACAAGCGGCAACAAGGAAGAAAACTACTGTTTCAGGAGGCGGGATTTCCGGCACAGTGTCCTATCAAAGGGAGTTTACTTTCCTCCAAGTTCTAGCGGTTCTTTTTTTAATTGTCATTACAGTGTCACCAGTGCAGAGCAACGAAATGAACTCTCTGCATTTAATCATCCCCTTGGGGAGCAGTGGGCTGCCGTTGTGCAGTGCCCATGGAGCAGTGTGGGGTTAAGGGTCTTTGCTCAGGGACCCAGAGTGGCAGTCTGTGGGAGTGGGGCTTGAAGTCAGAACCTCAGGATTCCAAGTGCAATGCCCTAACCACTAGTCTGACACTCTCCAAAGCAGGCATTAGCGTAAAGGGTCTTGCCTAAGGACCCACAATGGCGGCTCATCCTTCGAGCTGGGATAGGAACCCTCCCGTTTGCAAGACGGATCAGTTACCACTGGAGGTAGCCAGCCGCTCCACACACGCAAACATACGTCCTAAAGTGACATATGTTTGCAGAAACAGCTCTGCATGCGATGAGGAGAGAATCTACAGGTGCATAGAAAGCAGGAGAGCGCAGAGAAGGAGCATGAAGTCACAGTTGTGACATATTGGGGGCCTCATTTTGTTGAATCTGCATGTATACAATGTGTTTGAGTTTTAAATAAAACTCAGCATTTATATCACACTTCTTTGGCAGATATCTGACTTGATGTCATCTATTTACAGGAGGGGAATGTGAACCAGCGGCGGGATGTGGCCCCCTTTATCCCTGTTGATCTGTTCTTCACCAGGCGGGTTTTGACGTACCAAAAATGATTAAGACTCAGCCCCCGTCGGCCACGGGGGGGAATGGGACCTCTGGTGGGAACAACGGGGGCTCCAATCTGCGGAGTGCCTCGCCTCACCGCAATGCCTACGAGGCGGGGCTGGCGGCTCTGAAGAAGGCCACCGACCACCTCAACAATGCCGCCAACGGAACCCCCAATCCTGGCTCCAAACCGCCCCTCCTGCCCCGACCCACCGGAAGAGGCCAGCGCTATGGGTCCAACGTCCACCGCATCAAGAACATGTTCATGCAGATGCAGTCTCCTGGCGACGAAGAGGACGGTGGCAAAATGTTAGGTGAGGAGCCTTCAAAGGTTTACTCTGAAAGAGTTTTTTTTAAAACTGTGTTTGATCGATTCTTTATCATTGGCAGGAAGGGAAGAGGCACTGAAACTATCTATTCCAAGGGCCTCCAGCCTCAACGAGAACGTCAACCACAGCGCTCTGCTCAAACTTGGGGATACAGTCTCAGAGAAAGTCAACAGGTTTGACTCTAAAACAGGCGGCGAGAGCGGAGGCTCATCTTTTGGTCTCTCCAAACTTCAAGAGACCAGAAGGATGTTTGAACAACGGACTCTCCAGGTAGGTTCTTCAATGGGTTGGTTTTCTCTAATCCATTTGTTCTAAAGCTATAGACTGAAAGATTTTATTTGATCTCTGTGTCAGGAGAAGCAAGCCGCCACCAACCGCATATTGCTGAAGAAGGAGCGAGCGTCGGGTTTTCAGGGCAGCCGCCTAGACGTTGTGGCCCGTTTTAATGGTTCTACGGAAGCTCTAGATCGACTGGATGAACCTCCCGCTGCTGTCCCCTCCGCCGCAGCTTCAGGCGGCCCCGGCGAGGCGGTTAGCCCCACTGTGAGCCAACTCAGTGCGGCATTTGAAAAAGGCGACGTGCGAAACAATCTCTACCTCCCCCAGCGTCGGTCCGCCCCTGCCTTAGCCCCTAAACCCAAATCTGCAGCCAAAGCAGATCCAGCTGAAAAAAAGGTAAGAACTTGATGAAATCTCACTGAAAAACAAAACGATTCGATGAAGCTTTTGAGTTCAAATTAAATATTTGTATCTTTATTGTGTACGAAGGCACATCCTGTTGGTAAGGAGAGCATAAAGGAGATAACGGCCGAGGCTACAAGTACCATGGCAGCTCAGGCGCCAGAAGCAGCAGGATCTCTACCAGGGAGCTCTGCGGGACAGGCTATAGGTCAAGAGAAGGACGGGTCTGGACTGTCAGAAGACATGTACTTAAATTCATCAGCGCCTTCAATTACAGTGACTGTAACATCCGCCTCGTTTGAGGCTAAATCGGATCCCGGTGCCCAGGCTGACGAAACTGAAGAAATGGGTCCAACTATAGAGGAGTGCCAGGCCAAAGAACAGGAAGTCCCCACCGAGGCGTCTGGAGGGACGCTGGTGCAGGCCCAGGTTCACGCTGCTCTAGAAATAGGAGGGAAAGAACCTTCTTCTTCAACCTTGGGGGAGAAAGGCGAAGACTCTACATGGGGGGCAAAGGAAGAGGACGGAAACGAGGAGGACGATGGCTCGCACCGGGAGGATTACTCTGAAGGGGATCTGGTAGATGTCAGTGCCTACAGCGGCATCGGGGAGGAGGATTCAGGGGGAAGCCAGCTGGACGACGAGGATGACGAAGAAGACGAGGAGGCGTATCAGCCAGAGAGCAGTTGCTCCGAAATGCCTGGCCTCCCCGAGGAAGAGGAAGCTCCGCCACCCAGCAGGAAGATTCGTTTCAGCACAGAGCCAATCAAGGTCTGTACGCTCTGATGCAGTACGCATCATGTTTTTCATCCTTATGGGTATTTTTTTTTTTAAAAGATGATGAAATTTGGGAAAACAAACCCTGGAAAACCCCCAAAAAAACACTTTCTGTAATTTTTTACTGGGATCTTACCTGAAATAAAAACACAATTAGGCTTTAACTCAACACCACAGCAAAAAGAACGTAATTACCACAGCTGTGGTCGTCTCGCATCGCTCTAATGGCAACGTTCGCTTCAAGCGAAATGTGCCCTTTGCAGAGAGATAATAATTATAATAATAAATAAACTTTATTAATCTCACACTGGAGAAATTTACCTCTGAATTTGACCCATCCCCTTAGGAAGCAGTGGGCTGCTATTGTGCAGCGCCCGAGGAGCAGTGTGGGGTTAAGTGTCCTGCTCAGGGACCCAGGGTGGCAGTCTGTTGGAGTGGGGCTTGAACTCAGAACCTTATAGGAGCCAAGCGCAATGCCCTAACCAAAATGCCCAAGAGCGAATTTTTGGGAGTGAATGGAACCCATTCGCTCCCAAAAAAAATCAGCATGTCTTCAATTTGATAAGCTGTTCTTAAAGCAACGTCTTTTGGAAAGATGGGAGCAGAATTAGAAACAATTCACCAAAACATATTACTTCATCTTTGAGCAAAGAAGGTAGCCTCGTGAGACCATCCTGATCTCGCGAGCTTTCAAGGTTTCACTCGCTAATCAGTCTGGAGACTCTCCGTTAAATAAAATTTGGAGCCGTTCACCAAACGAACGTCCAATCAGCGTTGGCTTTGAGGCGGGTTGAGGTGTGACGCAACGAGAAGTCTAAA